ACAATCAAGTCAAATTCCCAGATAGTTATAACAGGCCACAAATTGAATCTCCGTGCCATCCAGTGAGAGAAGTCTGATCAGGTATTCAGTTTGTGGGAGGTTTCTGTTGAAGACCATACATTTGGTTTTGCTTATGTTTAGTGATAGCAGAAGATTGGAAAAGGTGTGTTGATTGTTATTGAAGCTCATCTGCAGCGCAGACAGAGCAGTGTGGAGGGAGGAACTAGATGTATAGACAATGGTGTCATCGGCATACAAAGAGTGTTGAACCAGGTATGGGACCCTGTTGGACTCCTTTGTGAATCAGTAAAGGGTCTGAGAGAAGACCCTCCATGCTCACAGACTGCATGCACCCAGAACAATAGCTTCTGAACCAGCTTACACAATTCTTGGAAAAAAATATATTTTGTAACCTTTCCAATAGAATGGAATGGTCAACAGAGTCAAATGCCTTTGCCAAGTCTACAAAAACAGCTGCACAATATTCTCTGTTGTCAATGGCACACACAATATCATTTACAACAAGAAAAAAGAGCATTCCTAAATCTGCTTCATAAGTTCCAAAAGACAAAAATTTGTATTCTCTGCATGCAAGTCAGAACATGCATTGTAGATTAGTTCTAGTACCTGGTTCCAACACCTGGTACTGTTTAACACTGTAATGACCCAAGGAGGCAGTTTCTTAGACAACAGGCAGTTTTGTGTTGGCTAATACAGAGCATTATGATAGTTTAACTAGCAACAGGCACCATGACAAGAGACTTCAATGACCCTCAATGTCCTCCAGGCAAAGCGTTAATGTTTTAAATAAGGTGTTCTCCAGTACTGATGAACCACTATTCTGACAGGTATGACAGCAGATGTAAATCAAGGACAGGACTTAGGAAAGAACTAATAGAATACATTTTTAAAAAAGCTTTGATTGGCCAAGATCCTTGACAGTGGCTTGGGATATCTCTTAAATATTATAGTGTCTATCAATAAGCAGATGTGCAGCAACTGATAAGTTTAGCCTGTATCCAGTTTACAGGAGTGATACCAGTCATACTCAGAGAAAAAAAAGTGTTGAAAAAATTCACATATTTGCAATTGAAAATATTTGCAAATGTTCAGTCTCGAGGCATTGTCGACTCAACTAGAGGACAACTATTTATCAACACGCAAGACTGACAAATGGTACTATATTGTCTCTCACACACACATACCCAAATGGGGAAGTTGGTCACACTACCTGTGAAGAAGTTAGTCTAGAGCTCCGATGCAAACAAAACTGAAAGATAACACTTCCATTACTAAGCAGCATTTACATGGAGCCTTTGAACGGAAATGGCTAATAAAACAGTTTGTCCAAAAACGCTGCTTCCAATTACAGTCTATTTTTAGCATACAGATAACTCCCCGTGTGCTTCCCCACTCACACCTGATGTGGGAGTTCCAGGGAGACTCCAGCTCATGGTGGGTGCTGAGGGTGGCTCAGTTGCTCACACTGAGGAGTGAAGCAGCTTATCTCACAGAAAGCTCAGCAATTCCAACTGAAGTAAATAATTCCATCTTTTTAAATTGTACAACACACTAGCAGATCTCATATTTCTGATTTTCTCCAACCAATAGTCTAGAACTAGGGTTGTGTCCAACTCAGAATTTTGTCAGTCAAAGTGGATTTGGTTCCTCATTGTAAACATTAAACGTATTTCCCCACTTTTTAAAAGAAAATCCAGTGACGTGAGTTTCAGCGATGATGTCAACCACATTAACATTGTCAAAAGCAGCAAAATTGTATATGATTTGAATTGCCAACATCAGGCTTCTTTGTAAAAACAAAACAAACAATCAAAAAAATTATATATGATAACCAGACAACAGGTCTTAGCATCATTTTTGACCTTTCAGCACCATCAGTGGTCCAAAATTTGACAAAGGCCTAATGATAATGACAGTCTCCAAGAATGTAAATGAATGCAAGTTTTGTTAAAAAACATTACCAGCAGTCAAAGCTTTGTTTGTTGCTTCCAGCTGTTGGTAGGAGTCTTTTCTCAAAGACTATGAAATGTCTGCAGCATCAGACATGGGCTCTAAACAGAGTTGTGCATATTTACACACATGAAATAACGGCAGTAACTTCATTAATTATTCAGAATCAATATGTATCCTTGACATGTAGACAGGGCAAGAGACAGTAAATGACAATGTGTACAACTCTTCACCTCAGGCAAGTGAGCAGTCATACAGATGTATCAGTCTTCCTCAGGTTGACTCCCAAGCTCCACAACTGTCTGTATACTTTTATTTAACTGTAAGTAAGAATCTGAGCCAGTTTTTAAAAAACAGAACATGCTTTTCTGTTTTGTACGAGGTGTGTCAGAAAAGTTCCAGGACTGGTGTCACAAAAGATATATTTCAAACTCAAATTACAAATCACAAGTTTTCCCCTTCAGAAGATCAACCAGCACGTCTACAAAGAGATCCTGCGCTGTTTGCTTCGTTCAACTTTTCTGACACACCTCATAGTCTCATAGCAGTATATGTGCAGTTGTGGCATAACTAAAGGCTTCCCACACTTTAAAAAATAAAATTGATAACATCTCATATGTCCCAAGAGTATGCCTTTCAATTTTTTAGAGCAAAACACTGCAAAGGTGGTTCATTTCACCATGACTGCATGACCCCTGGTTTTAGCCCTATTCTCAATGAGCTATTTCAGTGTCTGTAACTTTACAAACATCAAATCTCATTTTACATGGAAATGTTGCTGATTTAACAGCACTGCTGCTGTTCTTAACTTGTGTATGGTGAGTAAGGAACGCTGATTTTTTTTAGGGCTAATGACAATACCAATTGTTGGTGACAGAGTAAGGCCAACAACCAAAATCTGGAATGGATATAGATAAAAAGTTATTTAATACCAGCATGTGATAGGAAGGAACCTGTCATTCTTAACCAGGTTATTTCATTAATAAAAATCACTATTATGTAATATACACATATACACATTAAATGTTATATATTATAAGCGTGTGAGAGCAGGGAACATGTCATTTATAACTACACTACATCATTAATAAGGACTACTACTATTGATTCTATACATATACATTAAATGACATATATATATATTAACAGCCTGTGATAGAGATGAGGTTTACTCTACGTGAATATGTACAACAGAAAAAGGAGTGATGACCTTTGAGCATCATGTTGCTACAACAGTCTCCTGTTTACTGTGAAATCAGTTGATTGAGATCAATAAAGTTTTTTTCATCCTGCAGTTCTATCTGCTGTTCTTCTGTTTTCTTTATCTTTCTCCTGTTCTATCACTTTTATTACTCACTAAAGCCCATATCTTAAAGCAATTAATTATGGTTTTCCAGACACTGTTTAGTTTCTGCAGGTTGTGTCTTTGCTAGAGAATGGTGTCTGTCAGTTACAACAGAGTGTTGATCTGACTTTAGAACAATGTTAAGGTGCTCCAGCTATTGTCAGCCGCCAATGAAGAGGCACAGCTAGCCTGTTAGCAATAGCCATAGCCTATCACCATCAGCAAAGTAAATTGAAATGAAGGGCTGCATATTTCTCTTAAGAAAAACGCTACAAACACGACTATAACTTTAGGATAATGAGTTTTAACACACAATACATACTAAAAGCAACACAGCTACTGTGTCAGGGGTGTCAGGGAGAATAGCTGGTTAAAAAAAGAAAAAAGAAAATGTAGACTGTTTAAATGTAAGTCATAGACCTCTCTATATTTATGTCCTAGTGTGTAAGTTGTTTAGATGTAAGTTTTAACAATCATGATTCAACATTCAGGTAAATTATCACCTTGCATCACAAGATTTTATTACCAAAATACAATGTCGTCCTTTTATTCTACTTACAGACAAGACAAATGTTTAAAGAAATGAAAATACTTTATTTATCCCAGAAGGGAAATTCAATAGAAGGGAAATTCAATAATTATCAATATATAATAATATAGTAATAATATAATAATAATTATCATTAAAGAACAAATAATCAAGCAATAAAATGAAACGATTTTTAGAATGGTGAGGAGGATGAATTCAGGAACCCTTTAGACTTTAGTGTTTTCATCTGTTTCTTTAGGATTAATGTCACTCTATAACAGCACATGCAAAAATAAAGTCTATGCTTTAAAATATCTTGTAGCTCTGAGAAGCCATACCTTCCCCTCTGACTATCTGCACAACCTCAGCTGCACGGGGTCTTTTGGAATGGTGAAAACTGATGGGTCACTAGGTGGTGTTGCAATACCAGCTGATCTGTCATTCTGAACATAACCGGCTGTGGAGCAGGTTAAGCGTTCAGCATGAGTTGCCATGGTAACGTACCTTGTAAGAAGTCAACCACCATTAGAGTCCTAAAAATCTAGAGTTAAAGCTCAAGTTACCTCGACCTCATATCTTACTGCACAGTACAGATCTGTGTTCAGCTGGAATGGTTCGCCTTTGAAGCAGTGGAAAGTGAGGGGGCACGATTATCTGTTTTACCTTGACAACTACTGGTGACAGTTTCACCATAGAAACTGGATACAATTCTTAGATCCTGTTATAGCTTAGCCATAAATACTCAAAAAAGTTTCACTGGGTCTAGAAACTGAAGACCAGTGAAAGCCCACTGTCTCGTTTCCTTGCACAGCTCCAGTGTGCAGGTGCAGCCTGCAGAAGCCCACTGTGAGCTCGTCCTGTGTGGGAGCGGTGGTGTCGGTGCAGGGAGGCCCAGCAGCCGCTGGAGCCGCCCCTGCACCGACACCGACATGTTTACACAGCTCACATCCACGCGCCTCAACAACAGACGTAAACACGGCAGCCATGTCTGTGAATCACGGCGTCTGTCCGAACACAGTGTCCCGTCACGACAGCAGCAGCGTGTGACATGGCGTTTATTGGCCATATGAAGCCCCCAGACAGGCAGGCCTGCTGCCGCCGAGTGTCAGCGATGCAGCACCAGTGACCGCAGGCTGAGCCCGCTGAGCTGCTTACCTTTCACCAGGAGAGTCCTCCGATCTGCTGCTGCTGCTGCTGCGTTGTCAGAGACGACAATATGAGTCCACATGAAAACCAATCGAGATGCGGTGGTTCATTAAACCCAGTTGGTGTTTTCCCAGCACTCTACTGGGGGGTTACTCCTCTTTTAAGCCGAACATGACGCCAAGGTCGTAACGTTTGGTCCGCAGGGTCCACAAACCGTGCGGGACACATGAGACGAAATCATAGAAACATTGCAGTGACGTGCCTAATTATGTCCAGCGGGGGAAAAAAGTGAAAATGAATAAATACCGACAGCAGGAAGTGACAGGTAGGCGCACTTATCCTGACAGTCAGGTGCATTGTCTAATCACTTGCTCTGCTCCACAGAGAGCTCCCGCCTCTCAGATCAGCAGGCCAATCAGAGAACGGCTTTGAGATCAGCAGACCAATCAGAGAGCCGTTCTGAGACAGTGTCCTTTAGACGCAGGTGCATCTACGATGCCTTCATGTGGCTGTAGGCCTGGACGTCACACTGACTCCGTGTGCTGCGTGTGTGGGCGACAAAAATCACATCTCTACAAACGTCCATTTTCAAAATTCCACACAGATTTTATTAATTCAGTTTCATAATGTTGTAATATTGCATTTTCATGTGTACTGTTTGAATTTCATGTGCAATTCTTTCATTCTGATGTGTAATATATGTGATATTATTGCTTTACTACCTCAGAAATATTGCCAGTATACTTATTACTTTTTGTAGTCTACCTCTACTTTACTTTGCTTTTTTGTATATTCAGTAATGTATGCACTTCTATCTTGATTTTTTTAAGAGGCACTGGATTTTTTTTTTGCAGTATCTATCAAAATAATTTGCTTACGGATTAAAAAGAGTTATCTTTTTTTATTTTGTTTTAACTATTCAAACTATACTTAAACCAAATGTATCTCATAAATCAATCAATCAATCAATCAATCAATCAGACTTTATTTGTATTGTACTTTTCAAACAAACAGAACGTAACAGTACAATTTTACAGAACAAAAGGGGGAAAAATCCCGTTAATGTTACGTTTCAGTCATAACAGGGTGACTGAAAAAAATAAATGCAATGAGGAAAAACACGAACAGGTCAAAATTCAGAAAAACAAAATAACAGAAAAGTGAAGTGTTAAAAGACAGACATATCAACACTCTGCTGTCCTCAGGTCTTCATTAGGGTTGTACCAGACACAGGGGCCACAACAGTCAAAAGCTGCCACAAAATGGATTTTTATGTATAAATGTATGTTTTTGTATCATTCCAAGGCCACTACCAGAAGACCTGAGGGTTCTAGAAGGTTCATGGATTAATGAAATCCGATGAATTGGGAGGATGAAGACCACTGACGGTTTCATAAAACACTGAAGAGAGTTTAAAACTAATTACAAAGCAGACATGCAGTCAGTACAATGACTTTAAATTGGAGTGATGTGTGTTTTCCATCTGTCTGGTCTTAGTCAACATATGTGTCGCCTAGTTTGAAAGCAGTTGTAGTTGACAAATATATTGTTCTTGGGGAGACCACATAGCAGAACATAACAAATGACAGCATCCAATAGTGGTTCTGTATTGACTTGAGAGAGAAACAATTGCACCCTGGCAAAGTTCTTTAAGAAATAAAATACATTCTTTCTCATGGTTCTAATGAGAGGTGAGTGCATTTTGTCTTTCAGTCTACATGAGTAAAAATGAGCACTTTTAGATGACTGTGCAGAAGCAAATTTCCCTTCCTGAGTCTAGACCAAAACAATGTGCTTCATTATATTAGGATATACACGTGTCTGTTCCGAAAGTAGTATTACTGGAATAATATTTTAGCAGTTTGTGCCACAAAGTCTCAATTACAAATGAGGTGAATAAAGACTGACTACCTTTAAGTGACCCTCTGCACATGGTACAATGCAAAAATGAAACAGAGAAGGAGAAAATGTTATCATTTTTTAAATAATTCAGACCTACAGTCACTCTTATGAACTCACATATCCCCACTTCCCTGTCTGATTTTGAAAAACTACTATTGTTATTGTCAGTAATTGGAAAATGTACCAGAGTTCTGTGATTAAATGTAGAGAAATGTGGAGCAACATGTCTCCCAACAAATTGTGGCAGTGGCTACTCTGTGGTTATTTTAGTGTCAATTGTTTCAGCGGATATCTCTTTATAATTATTAGGTGTGTAGGTTTGGTTGCAACAGTGCACTACCAGCAAACTAAAAGCTAACCTTACATGATACAGCTGATCTGAGAAACAAGTTGTTTAGCTCTAGTAGTCATTTATCATACATGTGTGACTCTGACTGACTGAATACATTCAAATTGTCTGTTCCAAATCTTTACTTCAAACAACTCATTCATTTAACATGAATACAGCAAAAAAAAGAAAGTAATACTATTGTCTTAACTGTGATTTTTCTGATTTAATCACTGGATAAGTTTTAAAAGATTATTTGGAGTGTAGAATGGGATCTCACCTTCCTGTTCAATTCTCTGTTTGCTCTGCTCTACAGTTCCCTTGTGTTGGTCCATGTCTGCTCTTATGTTCCCTCTAGTGGCATCAGTGAGTGCTCACAGGATAATGCAGATTTAAGAGGACAGTGGAAGGGCATTTACTGAGAAGCTGCAGCCTTCTACCATTGCAGATGAACAAATTATTCTGCAACAAATGTGATTTTTGAAGAGGAAAATGGAAGTCGAAATGAGTCTTTTCTCTGCCTATCAAATGTTGGTGACTAGAAAACCCAGAGGTTTGAGGGACTTTAGAAAAACACACACACACACACACACACACACACACACACACACACACACACACAAAATAAACATCCCCAAATTCCATTATTAGTAGCTCTGCAACTCCAAGGCTAAAATGAACATCCCTGGATGAAAGGGCAGGCAAGAAATTCTTTGGAGAATTTTGAAAGGGGTTGTATTGTTTTTTGTCTTTATCAGCTATGATAAAGAGAAAGTTTAGTCCTTTCCTCTTAGCTTAGGAAAACATTGCCTTAAACTTGAAATTAAAATTGTTTGCAGGTCAAGCAGTCTGCAGTTTACCCATGTATTGTTTTTATTTGCACTTAAAATGGACTGTAGATGGGGTGTTTTTCCTATATTTTTTCTTATCAATTCTATATATTCTATATCTGGGATTATTTCACAACTGAACTCACATTCAGTTGAAACTCCTCATCACCTTCAAAGCTCTCAACAGTCTACTTCATTGTCCTGTTTTGTGTGGGTGTGTGTGTGTGTGTGTTTGTGTGTGTAAAGCATCTTTGAGTTTCTTAAAAAGACGAAAGTATTATTATTAATATTGTCACCTATAGGTAATCAGGAAATCTTTGGATGCAGGTAAACTTACTGTAAAGCCCAGCTGCATCATGGGCCAAGAGAAAACAAAACAGCAATGTACTGATATTAGAAAATGTACTTTGTACTTTTGAATACTTCAGCATTTTTAAAAATTGAGCACTTTAGTACTTTAACTTGAGTAAAATTTTGACCAAGCAACTTTTGCCTGTAGTTAAATAAGATCTGACCACGAGTATCAATACTTTGACTCAAGTATTGGAGGTGAGCCCCCCCCCCCCAACACGTCCGGGACACAACAGACTTGGTCATTTGAAAATCCAAACTAAAAACTCACCTGTTTCACTCTGCTTTTCATATATACACACGTGGACAAAATTGTTGATACCCCTCGGTTAATGAAAGAAAAACCGACAATAGTCACAGAAATAACTTGAATCTGACAAAAGTAATAATAAATAAAAATTCAATGAAAATTAAGCAATGAAAATCAGACATTGCTTTTAAACCATGGTTCAACGGAATTATTTAAAAAAAATAAACTCATGAAAAAAGGTTAGCGCAACTTTAGCAGTGCAACTTTAATGGAAAGGCATGACCGACACAACAAAGCAGGCATCAGTCGTCATGGCACATGGCAAAGAGAGTTAAAGTGCAACAGGAGACATGATGAGTCATTGTTAATGTCATTATGACCTTATCTGTCAGTAGCTCCGCTCAGCCCACTCCTGTGATGCTGCCTGGTTGTAGCTTCCTCCTGCACCACTGAGAAGACAGCGGTGAGNTATTCAAGTAAAAGGGCAATAATGTCATTATCTGCACATCTTTTTTCCACTCAAAGAAAAGCCAGTCTGTGCTCTCAAACTGTTAGCCCTAGCACTGGCTACAAAGCTTGCCAACAAGCATCAATAGGTAATGTAGTAGCAGTCTCACTGTCTACGTACCGTTTATTACTCTGTGATAGGAACCACACCTGTAGCTGCTGGTCTATGTGTCACTTTGCAAGTCAAATTTTTCTATTTTATAGACATTTTATTAGTTATTATTATTTGTATTATTAGTATTATTATTATGTGACACATAGAGGTAAATACAAATGCTAGTTATGTATATATGTGCAGTAGAACATGTAACCTAGGTGATGTTTGGTTTCAAACCATTCTTTTTGTTGCCTTCTTGAGATGTAATTGTTTCACAAAGGTGGCTCCAGAGAAAATCAATTAAAGTCAATGTCAGTACAATGCAAGTACATTTTTCAGTTGTTTTAATGGGCATGTGTTTATTTAGGCATATTATTTGGCTATAATATCAATCAGTAATCAAATGTGTTGCTCCTTGCTGCACCCTAACTACACAGAGATGAATCTCTAATCAAGCTTCACTAGAGGCTGTGCAAAAAGACACATGCATGGTTCTATACATGCTACAATTGCAGATACGCATCAGCCTGCTGCATGCAGATGCCTGCTGAGGGCTCCAAACAGTTCCCCATGGGCATGGGTAGATGAAAGTTGCATCACTACTTACATTCACTTTACAGGACAACAATTTATAGCATCTGTGCTGCTGTAACTGAGTGGGGAAACTAGCAGCCTCTCTGTCTACAGCTGACTAGCCTAGCCTGCATGTGAGGCAGTTAGGAACCATCTGTAAATTGTAGGGATGCTACAATTACGTTTTTTTCCCTGATCCTATCTGAGTTATTGAATATATAGTGTCTGCCGATACAGAATCCCAATCCAGTACGGTTTT